ACATTTGTGCGCAAGGAGAATTTAAATTGAAATTTGCCGAAAAAGTTAGTTTTTAGCCCGCCTTACCAGCCCCCTACCCCCAAAATTGAGATTATTATGGCTATAAAAAGTTATGTAAATAATATAAAGAAATAAAAATAAATAAAGTGGTGCAATTCATAATTCACTAAAGTTTTTCGAGAAAATTAAAAATTTATTTTAAAAATCCAAGACTCACAGATTTTATACCATTTTAAATTTTAGTTAAAAAAATTATAAAAATTAAAAATGGTATAAAATCTGTAATTCTTGGATTTTTATTTTGTTGTTAAACTTTAGTGAATTATGAATTGCACCACTTGAATAATCTTAATTGGGTGTAGGGGGCTGGTGAGGCGCGATGAAAAACTAACATCTTTTCAAAAAATTTACTTTAAATTATGCTTGCGCAGAAATTGTCTATTCAATGTCATTATAAACTCATATATGTTTTATATGGGCCTCATGTCTAATAAGTGAGATATTAATATTGGTATACCCAAAATCCACCAGCAGCCACTGTCTAAATCTTTCTTATCCTAAACCCTATATAAATTTGTAATTTGAATAAACAAGTAAACCAAAATTTTTCTACAATTTTCGTTCCTAGGCTCATTTTGACATCATATGGAAGTCCACTTCCAACGTACATTGTATGTACATTTATTACATAACATGGACATCCTATAGTGTGCCAAAGTTAGGTTATATGTACGTACATGGAACGTCCATACAATATTCTTGGACATTCTATGGATATCCATTTGTACAGAGATGGATGTCCTATGGACACCATATGGACGACTTTGTGCTCTATGTGTTGGAAGTCAAAAGTTGAAAAAGTTTTTTTCCCATTGTTTTTGTAATTTAATTAAAAAATTAAATTCACTTTCTATTATATTGTATTAGAATGAAAGTTGAGTGAAAAAAATCACATTCTACAATTTTTACATGTTTTCCACGATTTTGGATCAAAAAAGAATTTCCTGTTGGAATTTATTTAAATAACGAGTGGACCACCTCAAGATGTTGAGTAAAAAAAATTTTTTTCTTCTGAAAAATTTTCTTTTTTTATAAGGTACAAATTCTACCCCCATGCTAAGAAAAAAAAACAAACATTTTGTTTTCAACTCACCCTAGTACATATAACGTAACTTTGGCACACTATAGGATGTCCATGTAATAAATGTACATACAATGTACGTTGGAAGTGGACTTTCATATATGATGTCAAAATGAGCCTAGGAACGAATGAGTTATGTATACATTTGTTTATTCTAATTCTAATTACAAACATATAGGGTTTAGGATAAAAAAGGTTTATACAGTGGCGGCTGATGGATTTTGGGTATACCAATATCTCAGTTATTAGACATGAGGCCCATATAAAACATATATGAGTTTATAATGACATTGAATAGACAATTTCTGCGCAAGCATAATTTAAATTAAAGTTTGCGAAAAAAGTTAGTTTAACAACAAAATAAAAATTCAAGAATTACAGATTTTAACCATTTTTAATTTTTATTATTTTTTTAACTAAAATTAAAAATGGTATAAAATCTGTAAGTCTTGGATTTATAAAATAATCTTTTAATTTTGTCGATAAAGTTTAGTGAATTATGAATTGCACCACTTTATTTTGAATAATATTAATTTTGGGGGTAGGGGGCTGGTAAGGCGGGCTGAAAACTAACTTTTTTTTCGCAAATTTTAATTTAAATTCAAATTTTCTATTCAATGTCATTATAAACTCATATAGATTTGATATGGGCCCCATAACTGATATATTGGTAGTATAGTGAATTAATTAAGTTTTATTTTATATTTAACACTAAACAAATAATTCAAGTATAAAAATATTGGTATTTAACATTTTGAAATAATCCAATGACATTGCCTTTAATATTAATATGTCACTGACTACCATGATACGATTTGAATCATGACTGACTTTTTTATTAGGAATTTGTCAAAAATTTGGGGGTTTAGTTGGCAAATTCTAGGGACCCCAAATTTATAATTGGCTACATTAAGTAGAATACACTTTATCCTTTTTTTATGTACACTAGAATATAATTTTGGTTATGTTATAATTATAAGAATATGTTTATAAATTTTGAAATATCAAATAAAGCTGTTAAAAAATGCAATCACTTTATTTTTAAATAAAATTATAGTTACTATATAATAAATTAATTTAACCAAACTGTCATGGTTTGCAAACAAAACAATTTTAACAATTAACAACAAATAAAACATTTGTTATTTTTTAAGTGTAGTTAATTGTAAAAATTGTTTTGTTTGATATTTTTGTAAAATTTATTTAGTATGGTAGCCGACCGCAGGAGTCCTAAATTAGACTTTGAACATCCGTCTTATTGTTTCTTGTCTTGGAACATCCTAAGGACATGGGAAAGCGTAAACTCCATGGACGTACATTCAAAGTCCATGGACGTATGTACTTAGTTTGGATCTTTAATGTACGTACAATGGACGTAGTTTGCTGTGTGGGTGATGTTAAAAATTATAAGCAAAAATGTGTAGAAAACCCAAAACAAGTTAGTTGTGTATCATCACTAGCGAAAATTACAATTTATAAAAGTGTACATACCTAATTATAGCAGAAAATCGGTTAAAATCACAATAATTATACGTTTATTATAATATAATTTCACAAACTTTTTAACACGCGTGTCGTATCGAAGGGCGATCAAGCACCCTCTGCCTTTATTTTATTTCATAATCTGTCTTTTAACTTCTCTGCCACTCAAGCAAGAATGTGAGACATAAACAAATCCCCCTAATATTTCTACGTTCAGATACAAAGAAGTGACATTTTAAAACTCAATAGGTTTTTAAAACATAAAATAAGTTAAAACTATAATATTATTTTTATTGGATTATTTACATTTTTCTTGGGTAAAATAGCGCCAAATTTGAATTTTAAAGTTTATGTACTACAGACCCTTACAATCTTGTGAAACGAATGGTTCAATACAAAACAAATGAACAGTTTTTAAATCTGCATAACTTAAAATAAAGAAGAAACTTAAAACCATATACCTATAACTCCTATACGGGTAAACGACTTACCACGCCCCTTGCAATTATTAAGAGACAGGTATATGTATCTATCTCAAATGATAAAATGTTTCCAATGCGCATGCTACACTATTAAAATACTACAGCTTGCCTTGTTTCTTTTATATTGCCTTTTAGAGGATTTCTTTATTCAAATTTTACTGGTAAATATGGTAAAAATTTAAAAAATACCTTTTTTAAACGTTATTGTTTTATTGTCTGAATAATTTTAGCCTAATTGTAGTAGTCTACAAAATAATAAACAATTGTTTATTATTTTGTGTTTACGCCTGTGATTCTGGTTTATTACAATTACACTTTAATAAAAATTTTGGTATGTATTATTTATGGTAAAACAATTAATTTTTTACCAAATACCTACTATGAACTTATAGTACCTACCTACCTACCTATTTTTTTTATTAGATTGCCAAGAGATTGGGAATGTTAGTAACCTTTAATATTTCATTATTTTTCTAAATCGGTCATTTGTTTTTGGCCAGCCGTCAACAATCTGGTTTTTAATTCAGTTTTTTTGATTAAATAAAAGAGAATTGTAAATATGATTTTGCCCATTTATTTTAAACACTAGCTGCATTAAATTAAATTAATAAAAACACTTTTTCAAACAAAAACAATGTTTTCGACCAAAGAGGTTATAAGAAAATGACAAGGAAAAGAAATTTTAAATTTGGCGAATTTAAAACCGGGCGTGGTATATTGTAAGGCACATGCGCAAAAGTTCCCATTTAACATTTGAAATAAGGGCATCTTTCTTTTACGGCAAGAACAATTGCACATTGAATGAATTGTCGATTACCCGTATAGGAGTTATAGGTATATGCTTAAAACATATTTTGTATTAAATAATGATATACATACCTTGGCAGCCTCCCCCAACGTTATGTTACTTATTACTTATTACACAAGTGTTTAAAAAATTAATTCACTTTGACACTACGTCAAGAAAAAATCATTATTTTAATATGAGCACTGCAACTGGTAAGTTTGACATGTCAAAACCTAAACAATCGTTAAAATATTTAAGCGTCACATTGTCATTGCCTACTATTGATATCATTAAATAATAAAATAACATTTTTATCTTTTTTGGACCAGTTTAATATATGTGGTTTTGGCCAAACTTTTTTAAATTTCCGCTTGTGTGCGGCAGTGCACTGATTAATCATTCAAAATTTTGGGTGGAGACTTTACCGTGGAGTGCCCATAAAACATTATCTTGACTTTTACTGTGAAAAACCGCTTCTATATCGGATTTACCGGGGGGTTAGTCCATTTTTAAGGGATAGATTTTGATTTACACATAAAAATTTGACTTTTTGACTGGCGCGCCGGTAATACAGATTCCTAAGTTACTAATTTGAAGTTAGAAACTCTATTGTTTTATAGATGTCGCTCTATACAAATATTTAATTTAAATCATTTTTACATAATAATAAGTATTTTTCGTAAAAAAAGTATAGTCTGTACCTCGTTTATAAACTTTTATATACACTCATTTAATTAAACGCCTAATTAAAATTTGTGACTAAAATGGCGATTATTAAACTTGATACATAACATATAGTATGTTTTAATTGGGTAAAAAATAACAAAACTACAGACTTTCAAAGTTGCTATTAATTTTTAAAAAGATTAAAATTGACAAGACTTTATTGATTAACTCAAAAAATTTGGTGTAAATATTTTCTTAAATCGATAATAAATAAAAAATCTACAGACTATCAAAATTGGCCTTAATTTTAAGAGAACATAAATTGACACGATTTTATATTTTGTAATATTAAAAAATCTCGAATAGAATGTTTAAAATAATTAAAAATTAGAATACCTATCATACGTTCTCATGTAAAAACGTTTAAACTAAAAGCCCTATAATGATGAAAACATTATCAGAAAATAATTTTGTCGAATATAATGTTCGTCTTTCTAATTTTTCGGGTAGAAAAAATGGTCTAAATGTATTTTCTTAAACCATATAGAAAAACCAAGTATTGCCAAACTTTTTTCAACAGCTAAAAATTCAATCTTGTTTTGATTCGGCGTCCCTAGGTTGAGCCTGTCACTGTTAACTTCACATTCTTGCAAGTATGTGGTATATCTTGCTTGTGTTATGGTTAAACATTTACTTAAAAAAACAAAGTAAAAAAAATAGTTCTCGGTTTTCGGTCTATGGCTATGATCAAAGCACAGGATATAAGTATCAAAGTTATATTTCCTATTAGTTTCTTATCTGGTCGAATTTTCATTAACATCCTGATGTTATGATAACATGAAACAACAAAACATTGTTTTCCACTCAAAATATTAAATGAAGTTAATTTCCTGTTTTTTAAGTTACTTTTTTGTTATATTTTTCGTTAAATAAAACAAAAAAGTAACATAAAAATATAATATAAAAGTAACACAAAATATAACATAAAAGCATCATATAACTTACGTTGGCATGCTAACATAAAAAACAACATATAACTAACGTTAGTATGCTAACGTAAGAAACTGGGACATTTAAACATAAAATTATACAAAAAACGTTAAAAAAAAGTTTTTTGTAACATACAATTTTTACCAGTGCAAATACAAAAAGGACCGGACTAACCTAAATTACCAACAAACAATATTTTTTATTTATCCAGGCTCGCGCGCGTACATTTGCGCTGTCGCGCCTCTATTTGCGCTTTCGCGCATATGTGTGTGTGATGTGCAGCGACTGAATTTAAAGGTGTGGAAATTAGTTTTAAGTGTTTAAAATTTAAAAAATATATTTACCGATGACACTCCGAAAATAGCTGACATTTTTTTCTTTGAAGGTGTCACTTTAAAGAACAAACAATATTTTTTTGTGTATTCGGGCTCGCGCGCGTACATTTGCGCTATCGCACCTGTAATTGCGTTATCGCAACTGTATTTGCGCTATCGCGCATATGTGTGTATAAAATTTAAGTGCAGCGACTGAATTAAAGGTGAGGAAATTTTAAAATATAAAAGAAATAATTTACCGATGATACTCCGGAAATGGCCGAATATTTTTTTAAGGTATAATTATAATTGTATTATAGAGCGTGATTTGTATAAATGCAACGGGAATAAGTTCCCCCGTTGGCTGCATCGCCTTGTTATACTCTATAATAATAATAATTAATGTATTTATATAATTTTAATAACTGCAAAATAGTTTTTGCAATTTGTTTAAAATTGAGCTGAGCTAAGCTTAACCAACTTTTTATTTTTGTAAAACTATGAGTAATATATATATATATATATATATATATATATATATATATATATATATATATATATATATATATATATATATAAAACATGACAAACCAACATATTTTCACAAGAGACGAGAAGAAAAAAAATATTCTTTTTTTTTGGGATACCCCAATATATATATGAGGCATTCCATGTCAACTCGGCCACCCCCTAGTGTGCAAAATTGACTAAAGTTTTTCGAAACGTGCAAGTGATGAATTTTTAGCTTATCGTCTTAACTTTTAAATGCCGAGTGGTATTTTGTAAAATTTCAAAATGGCGGTGTCAATATAGCGACTGCAAGCAATGGACATCACTTTAAAAAATTCGTAATACGTAGTTTACATTAACTAACAACTTTATAAAATTAAAAATTAAATTTTATTTAATGTACTGATCTATTATCAGTGATTCTATGTATTTTTTACCGCTGATTACACAATGGTTCGCCCCTAACCTCAAAAAAAAACTTAAAAAGCAGTTTCTCGTAATTTACTCCAGCTTAATGCATTTTTGATAGATGGTTTAGCATTTGTTTTTTGTATTTCTCATTGCCTAATATAAATATGGCCTTACCTCAGAGTCGACATAAAACTGTACGTTCCTAACCTAAAAAAACTCTCAAAAATGTATTTTTACCTTCTTTACAGCTGTTTATAGCATTTTAAAGATTGGCATAAGGTTATTTTTTACTTTTTAGTAAGTAAATAATCCAACTATTTACTGCACACAAAGCAGTTTACCCCTAACCTTAAAAATATTCTCTACAAATTAGTTTTCTGCAGTATACAGACGCTAAAGAAAATTGAAATATGGGATTTATAGATTTATTTCCACACTTTTATCGCTAAAAATGTTTATGATCTTTGATGGCAGTTCTTTGTTAACCTAAAAAAACTTTGCATCCTACCTATGCAATAAAAATGAGGTTTAAATGATATGTTAAAAATATTTACTATATAGTAGTTATTACATAACAATATGCTGAATTTGTAATTATCTATATCAGATTCTAACGATAATTAAATTCGGAGCCATTTGGAGCATTCGAATACTTTTTTAAGAGTACATTTTTATTTGGTAATACCACAAAAGAATATTATTTTTGGTACGAATTTAATTATCGGTAGATGTAGATTTATACAATTTTAGCATATTCTTATGTAATAACTACTATATAAAAATAGTATATTACACTACAAGGGCAGAAAGTGTGAGATTCCTGCACTGCGCGCCATGGCATCATGGCGCGCAGTGCAGGGCTCTTACACTTTCTGCCCGTGTAGTGTATACTATTTTTCTTACTACCTCGACAGAAAATTCACTATTCACTATTAGTCTTAAATAATATTCAATATTAACAATTAGTTAATTAACTAATTGAAAACAAATTTTAAGGTTATATTAGTGTCGTAATCAGAGTTGCATATGTTGAGTACTAGTGCACACGACTAAAAAATTTTTACTCCCGCTATTATAGAGGGTGCGCGTATAGCTTGACCAATGCATGAAACGTAAACTTTCTGCCGTGGAATCGGGGACGAAACAACGTATTTTCAGTCGAGGTAGTAAGAAAATACGCTGTGTCTAGTCTCACGCTAGCGTGAACGCAATTTTATTCTTATTCTCACGCGGTGACGTCACTAATTATAATCCGTTTTTGTTCCCAGAGCGTTTAATATTTGACAACAAGCTAGATGGCTCCGATGGTAGGGCGGGCGCTTGGCATGCGAGAGGTCCCTTGTTCGATTCTAAGAACTTTTTTTATTTTTTTATTTCATAAATTTGTTGTTTCTTTGTTAAACAGTCTTCGGTTGGGTTGGGTTGGTTAATTTGTTTTAGTTTTATCGTAACATAAAATCTACCAGAAGTTGTCGAACTTTTTTTATTTCATAAATTTGTTGTTCCTTTGTTAAAGTGTTTTATTTTTATCGTAACATAAATTTGCCCATTTTAGTTGGGTTTTTTGCTCAATGGGGCGGGGGGGGCCCAATGGGGCAGGGTCGGTTGGGTTGTGTTGTTGAGTTTGGGTTGGTTTGGCTGCAGTAAAAAGTCTCGATTTTATTATTAGTAAATTTTATTACATTTGCATAATCAAATCAAATGACATAATCAAATAATAATCAAATCAAATGACACGACACCTAAAAAGTAAAATTAAATAAAATAATGCGTGAGAATAAAATTAAAATTATTTTGACTTTAGCGTGAGAATAAAAATTAAATTGCGTTCACGCTAGCGTGAGACTAGAAACAGCGAAGAAAATATTTTTAACATACGATTTTTGCAAAGTTTTATAGGTTAACTAAGAATTGCCGTCAAAGAAAGATTATAATCGTATTTAGCGATAAAAAGTGTGGAAATAAATCTATACATCCCATATTTCAATTTTCTTCAGCATCTGTATCTGCAGAAAACTAATTTTTTGAAAATATTTTTAAGGTTAGGGGTAAACTGCTTAGTCTGAAATTTATAGTTGGATTATTTACGTACTTGGCGATAAAAAGTATAAAAATTTAACCTCATGCCAATCTTTAAAATGCTTTAAACAGCTATAAAGAAGGTAAAAATACATTTTTTGAGAGTTATTTTAGGTTAGGAACGTACAGTTTTATGTCGACTCTGAGGTAAGGCCATATTTATATTAGGCAATGAGAAATACAAAAAACAAATGCTAAACCATCTATCAAAAATCCATTAAGCTGGAGTAAATTACGAGAAACTGCTTTTTAAGTTTTTTTTTGAGGTTAGGGGCGAACCATTGTGTAATCAGCGAAAAAAATACATAGAATCACTGATAATAGATCAGTGCATTAAATAAAATTCAATTTTTAATTTTATAAAGTTGTTACTTAATGTAAACTACGTATTACGAATTTTTTAAAGTGATGTCTATTGCTTGCAGTCGCTATATTGACACCGCCATTTTGAAATTTTACAAAATACCACTCGGCATTTAAAAGTTAAGACGATAAGCTAAAAATTCATCACTTGCACGTTTCGAAAAACTTTAGTCAATTTTGCACACTAGGGGGTGGCCGAGTTGACATGGAATGCCTCATATATATATATATATATTAGGGTGTCCCTTATTTTTTATTTTTTTACGCATACCCTCTAATTATATTTATTACGTGTTTATATACTCCCAGTAAAAATTTCAGCTCATTCTATAAACGGGAACCCGTGCCGACTTGCATCTGAACCCTCCATTAGCGAACGTTAGGCGCGCGGTATTTTGTAACACGGTTGGTCGCGAGGTCTTCGATCGTAAGTCATTTTGTGTTTGTTATTATGTGACCCTTATATTATAAATTATTGACAAATGTTAAAATATAGTTTTATTTATGTGTATACTTTGATAAAAATGTATATTTTCACAGGGAGTGGCTAGTTACCCGGAAGGGTCTAGTGAATATGCCGTAAACTCTGAAATTGATAAACTTAATGGGATTTACTCTAAATAACTAAAAGAGTCTATTGTGAGAGATGACTACCGAAAACTGTCTGAAATATTTTTGGGAGGGCATCAAGAAAAGAAATGCTTATAAAAAGCTGAAATTTCATATAACAGTATATTTTAGCAATACTAATTAGTATATTAATATATTTAAGGGATAAAATCAACTAATTTTTTTTTGGTTATTTTTTAGCTGTCATTCAGATATAATAAAAAAAATAGTTTCGGGTAATTAGTTTTACGGCCTATTCACCCGACACTTCCGGGTAACTAGCTACTTCCTGTAAAAATATTTATTTTTATTAAAGTATACACATAAATAAAACTATATTTTAACATTTTTTAATAATTTATAATATAAGGGTCACATAATAACAAACACAAAATGACTTACGATCGAAGACCTAGCGGCCAACCGTGTTACAAAATACCGCGCGCCTAGCGTTGGCTAATGGAGGGTTCAGATGCAAGTCGGCACGGGTTCCCGTTTATAGAATGAGCTGAAATTTTTACTGGGAGTATATAAATACGTAATAAATATAATTAGAGGGTATGCGTAAAAAAATAAAAAATAAGGGACACCCTAATATATATATATCGCCGACGGTGGTCGAGTGGTTAGTGCAGCTGACTACAAGCCGGAGGTCGTGGGTTCGAATCCCACCAGGGGTATGGCTGTTTATTTGTGTTTGTCCTATTGTGTATTAGTCCTTCGGAGGGGACTTTAAGCCCGCGGTCCGTTCCTACCCCTAACCCGCACAAGCCATTCAGTTGGCTTATGGGACTTCTTAAGAAGTAAGGGTGGAACTAAAAGAGCACTTTTGTATATAAACTTTGTATATATATATATATATATATATATATATATATATATATATTAGGGTATCCCAAAAAAAAAGAATATTTTTTTTCTTCTCGTCTCTTGTGAAAATATGTTGGTTTGTCATGTTTTAAGAGCCCTGTCAAAAGATCAGCACCATTAAAAAAATTTTAAGGGTCGCTCAAGATTTTTAAAAATTACCAAAATCGTCAAAAATTGTATTTTTTTAAATTTTTTTTCTCGTTCCGATATTATTTTTTAATTTAAAAATAATAATGATTCTGAAAATTTCAAATCAATATTTTAATTTCTAAAGGTCGCTCAAGATTTTTTTAACTTTTAAAGTAGAGTATTTTGAATGTTTTCGAGCGACCTCTGAATATAAATATCAACGAACTTTTAGCGACCTTTAGAAATCAAAATATTGATTTGAAATTTACAGAATTTTTATTATTTTCAACCTAAAAAATAATATCGAGACGAGAAAAAGAATTAAAATAAAACAAAAATTCAATTTTTGACGATTTTGAAAATTTTTAAAAATCTTGAGCGACCCCTACAAAATTTTTAATCGAGCTGATATTTTGAAAGGGCTCTTACAGCATGATAAACTAACATATTACAAGAGACAAGAAAAAAAATATATTCTTTTTTTGGGACACCCTAATATATATATATATATATTAGTGGTTTTTCGGGATCTGCTCCGTGTTGTCGGTTTTTGGTTCTTAAAAGAACTGTATGTCTGACGACGTTTCGGTACAATCTCATGTACCATCTTGAGGTCTTATCTGCTGGGCTGCTGTTGCTGCTCTGCTGAGAGTTAGACGTGGAGTGAACTCCGTTGCCGCTGATCGTTGTTTATATACCCTATTAGCTTTCCGCGTCATTAACCGCAGAGACTCCCTTGTCTCTGATTAACCGTGACTGCAATTGAACTCGTGTTAACTCGTGTTATGTTCGGCTATATTGATCTCGTTAATCTGCGTGGCGTTGTGGTGGTTGTAAGAGCTGGTTTCCATGCAGGTGTATCGTCTCTTGTGTTGAGGTTTCTTGGACGTTTTTCTATTTCAATGGCTTCACGGATGGTACGTTTGGTTCTGTGTTCGATGCTAGCCAAGAACCTTGTTTTTTCAAAGTCAATTTCATGAGTTTCAAGTTTTTCGGGCGTGTTCAGCTAAGGAAGAGGTTTTTTCTGGTTTTAAGAGTTCTTCGCGTCGAACGTTGATACGTCTATTGGTCTGTCCCACGTAGCTTCCGTCACAATTCTTACAAGGAATTTCGTAAACCCCTTGTGCCTCCAACTCTATTTTTGGTTTGGCGTTGGGAAGTATTTGACCGATCTTTCTTGGGGCGGTAAATGTGGTCTCAATTTTATGTTTTTTCAGAACTTTGTTGTTCAGAACGGTTGTCCCTTTGACGTAGGGAAGAAAGGCCTTCGAAGTTGGTTTGTTGTTTTTGTCCTCTGTGGTATTTAACCCGCGTCGGTTTATGTTGGTTTTCGATTTCCATTGTAAACTTGATCTTTTTGTAAATTCCGTTGAGATGGTCCAGGAATTTCCTCAGTTCCGCTTCTCCGTGGGTCCAGATGATAAATGTGTCATCTACGTACCGCAGCCATAACTTTGGTTTTAGTGTTGCCGTTTAGATTGCTCGTGCTTCTATGTCTTCCATGAATAAGTTGGCTATTGCTGGCGATATTGGGGAGCCCATTGGAGCACCCTCGATTTGTTTGTATCTCTGGTCGTTGTATATGAAATACGTGTTCTTGAGGCAGTGTTTGGTTTGCTCTGTGATGTCATCACTTATTGGGTGTTTTCTTTGAATTGTCTCCAAGGCTTCGCTGACTGGAATATTCCTAAAGAGGGATACGACATCGAAGCTGACGAGCATGTCGCTTGGTTCCAGTTTTATGTCCTTTATGCGCTCGATGAAGTGGTTTGCGTTTTTTACGTAAGGTTCCGCTTCCTTGACGAACGGCTGCAGCTGCTTAGCCTGGAATCTTGCGAGCTCTTGTAGCGGTGAGCCTATTGAACTGACGATAGGTCTTAGTGGTGTTTCTTCCTTATGTATCTTTGTCGTCAAAGTGCCCAAAGCTATACGGCACATATGATTTGTTTTATAGGGTTTTTTGGGTTAATCATTTTATTTATGGCAGTACCTTTAGAAACTTTGAACTTAAATTTAAATAAAATGAAACGTACCTTATTACAAAGGCACATAATATTTAGCCTATACCAAATCACCCAATTATTTTCGATAATTTTTTTAGTTCATATTTACATTATATTTTTTCATATTTAAGAATAGGCTGCAATGTGTACCGGGCTTTATAGTCGATTAGTTAATATAATAAGAACTGTGTAATAATTTTTATGTGTATTAGAAATATTCTTTCTAGGATGGTGGATGTACTTGCGCTGGAGATGTAGCAAAGGCTTTTGGGGCAGGTGCAGATTTCGTAATGGCGGGAGGAATGTTTTCAGGACACGATCAGTGTGATGGAGATGTTATTGAAAAAAATGGAAAAAAATACAAACTGTTTTATGGTATGTCATCAAGCACCGCAATGGAAAAGCATGCTGGTAAGTTAATAAAGCAGTAAATTATAGCGATTAATACCAGGGTTGGCATGGTTTTAACCAGGTTTAAAACTGGTTTAAATCGGACTGGATAAAACCTTGACTTTTGGTTAAAACCAGACAAATAAAAATTCGTAAATTTTATTGTCAAAAACATTTTAATAGACATAAATGCATACAAACATGACATAATCCTCGGAAAACAAAAACAAAATACCTATAATAACAAATAACATTCTGTTGGTATTGGTTTAAACAGAGTACATACAGTAGGTAATAAAAATATTAAAAAACTTTTAATAATATTTAATATTATCTGTATGTATCCTACTTGCAATTTGCATGCAACAATAAATTATTATTGCAATTGTCAATAATGAACATTCACGAAATAAAATTAAAAAAACATAACAATACTTAATAAAAAATAAACAGCACAATATAATGACTTTAAAAATACAAATACCACCAAATTTACCAATCTTCAAAGCCAGAATTTTTATGTAAATTTAGCATTTTATAAGTTGCAACAAGTTTAGCTGCCTTTTCTAAACCTAGTCAATTTCGTAATTTATTAATTACAAATGAAAAATTAGAAAATATACGTTCAATAGAAGCTGAACTTGCCAGGCATATCATCAGATGACTTACGAACTTAATAAATCTTTTATCAATGTCTTTACATTTTTTCATTGATTTCCACCAGGTTGAAAAACGCGTACCCTTTAGTGCCGCTTCCTCAAAAAACTCTGTGGAAATGGTTTTTCTTCAGCTTCAAAGCAGACTAATAATGGTAGAAACTCAGAGTTAACTCTTAACAAATACTGTCGAGCTTCTTCTTTTTCACTTGCATTAAGGTTCAGGCCACGATAGAGTGTATCTAGCATGTATGCTAGTTTATGTGCACTGCTAATAGAGTCTTTGTATCTTCGTTGTAGTATATCTTGATAGGGTAACAACAAATCGTTGTTAAGTATTTCCAACCACAACATCAAAAATTGTTGCAGAATCTGACTGTAACTTATCTAGTGCAGTAGGTATTGGCTCCAATTGCTTGGTTAAGTGGCGAACTTGCGCTGCAATATTTGCATTTTTGATAATACGACGTGTCTCGTGACGAGACTCTCGTCGTCCACCCTCGTCGTCTTCTTCTTCAATCTGAACACAGACGAACTGTGTTCAGGGGTAATGGCCTTTAGCTTAATTAAAAACTATTTGGCCAGCTCATTATGACAACTTCTCTGACTAAAGGCTTATTCATGCTCACTTAAAATAAGAAATAAGGAATAAGAAATAAGATCGCGATTAATCGTTCATGCTGATAACATAAGAAATAAAAAATGTCACACAATTATATTTTATTATAGTGGATTATATTTTGGATATAATCGTAAACAATCGATAGCGACACTCAACGCGATCTCCAACACCATGGATCCATGGCCAGCACATAAAACCCATAAAACCAATTCACATACCAATTTTGTCCATGCGCAGTTTTATACGCAAAAATAAGAACCAAAGTTAAAAGTTATTTATCTTTAGTCTTATTTCTTATTTTCATGAACATGAACGCATATTATTATTATTTCTTATTCTTATTTCTTATTCTTATTTCTTATTCTTATTTCTTATTCTTATTTCTTATTCTTATTTCTTATTCTTATTTCTTATTCTTATTTCTTATTCTTATTTCTTATTCTTATTTCTTATTCTTATTTCTTATTCTTATTTCTTATTCTTATTTCTTATTCTTATTTCTTATTCTTATTTCTTATTCTTATTTCTTATTCTTATTTCTTATTCTTATTTCTTATTCTTATTTCTTATTCTTATTTCTTATTCTTATTTCTTATTCTTATTTCTTATTCTTATTTCTTATTCTTATTTCTTATTCTTATTTCTTATTCTTATTTCTTATTCTTATTTCTTATTCTTATTTCTTATTCTTATTTCTTATTCTTATTTCTTATTCTTATTTCTTATTCTTATTTCTTATTCTTATTTCTTATTCTTATTTCTTATTCTTATTTCTTATTCTTATTTCTTATTCTTATTTCTTATTCTTATTTCTTATTCTTATTTCTTATTCTTATTTCTTACTCTTATTTCTTACTCTTATTTCTTATTCTTATTTCTTACTCTTATTTCTTATTCTTATTTCTTATTCTTATTTCTTATTCTTATTTCTTATTCTTATTTCTTATTCTTATTTCTTATTCTTATTTCTTATTCTTATTTCTTATTCTTATTTCTTATTCTTATTTCTTATTCTTATTTCTTATTCTTATTTCTTATTCTTATTTCTTATTCTTATTTCTTATTCTTATTTCTTATTCTTATTTCTTATTCTTATTTCTTATTCTTATTTCTTATTCTTATTTCTTATTCTTATTTCTTATTCTTATTTCTTATTCTTATTTCTTATTCTTATTTCTTATTCTTATTTCTTATTCTTATTTCTTATTCTTATTTCTTATTCTTATTTCTTATTCTTATTTCTTATTCTTATTTCTTATTCTTATTTCTTATTCTTATTTCTTATTCTTATTTCTTATTCTTATTTCTTATTCTTATTTCTTATTCTTATTTCTTATTCTTATTTCTTTTTCTTATTCTTATTTCTTATTCTTATTTCTTATTCTTATTTCTTATTCTTATTTCTTATTCTTATTTCTTATTCTTATTTCTTATTCTTATTTCTTATTCTTATTTCCTATTCTTATTTCTTATTCTTATTTCTTATTCTTATTTCTTATTCTTATTTCTTATTCTTATTTCTTATTCTTATTTCTTATTCTTATTTCTTATTCTTATTTCTTATTCTTATTTCTTATTCTTATTTCTTATTCTTATTTCTTATTCTTATTTCTTATTCTTATTTCTTATTCTTATTTCTTATTCTTATTTCTTATTCTTATTTCTTATTCTTATTTCTTATTCTTATTTCTTATTCTTATTTCTTATTCTTATTTCTTATTCTTATTTCTTATTCTTATTTCTTATTCTTATTTCTTATTCTTATTTCTTATTCTTATTTCTTATTCTTATTTCTTATTCTTATTTCTTATTCTTATTTCTTATTCTTATTTCTTATTCTTATTTATTATTCTTATTTCTTATTCTTATTTCTTATTTCTTATTCTTATTTCTTATTCTTATTCTTATTTCTTATTCTTATTTCTTATTTTTTAGGTTTTAACCAGTGGCCCGGATAAAATATCAAAAAGCCGGCTTTTTGCCAACCCTGATTAATACATACAATTTCGTAAATTAATTGACAGCCTAAACATTTGATAAACAACATTGCTGAATAAAAATAGTTTGAGCATGTTCTAAATGCTTGTATTTTTTTTATTCCTTTTTTTTGTATGTAATTTGTTCTATAATTGGATTTTATATCTGTTGAACAATAAACTTTTATTATTATTATTATTACGAGTATTATTAAATGTTAAGAAACAAGTATGTTATTTTTTATTCAGGAATTATAAATTTCTCCTATGATATTTTAAATTCAAATTATAAATTTCTCCTATGATATTTTTTATTCGAACTATAAATTTATGCTAATATATTTTTAATCCGAATTATAAATTTCTCCTATAATATTTTTAATTCATTTAAAAATATCTACTCGGATAGTTTTAATTATGTTATTTTTTTAGTATATGATGGTGATTATTGAATAAAAAATATTATATGAGAAATTTATATTCGAATTAAAAATATTACTTTAACTTTAATTTTTCTATGATATTTTGAATGAAATGAATTAAAGTATTCACTCGATATTTTTAAATAATTTAGAAATATATGTGTAATTCAATTAATAAATAATTACTTAATAAATAATTAAATGATGCGCCATGAACAACTAAAAATTATATTTTTCTACTCCTATTGCATAATATTTCCGTATGTAATGGCAACCATTATATACGGAAAAACCGAAATGTGCTTATCACCTGAGTAAAAAGGATTTTATATAGTTTTACCCGGGAAAAAAATTATATATGATCATATATAATTATATATAATTTCATTATAAATATATGATGAGTATGAGTATGGGAACGTATGGCAGGCCTCATCGACATTATCTTACACTAATCTCCCAGGGTTATTTTACCCCCTTTCCGTTCTCCTACGTATCCCGCCAATTCACAGCATTACCTGTGTTTGTTGGATCCGAAGTTTTTACACCGGCTGGTAGATCCACCCTAGGAAGTCGTGGATGACAGTGTCTATGGTTAAGGCCACTCCCGGATTTTTGTCAGCCGGGTCGGGCCATACGTCCAATTTAGGCTAGAGTGCGGGATAAGGAGGGCTAGTGGTGGTTTTTGGAGGACTTTGAACTGACCGAAAACTAAGTACAATCCGGAATTCTCCTCAACCTGGGTCTTAGTAATAACCCCCTGCAATTGGGATTCATGAATGGGGGTAGGTAGGTTAGTTCTTTGCTTACACCTATCTTTGTTGGTTTACTTCCGGTTCATCAGTGTCGGTGTCGCTCTCCGAGTCGGATTCCGAAAGTTGGTGCAGTTTTTCCGTCTCCTCCCGCATAAGGTTTTTGTGGGTGCTGATTTGTTCCCAACTGACGAGGTCGGTTTGTGCGAATTGGATTGTCTGAGCCAGGGTGTCGTGGAATGTGCAGCAAGGTCTACCGTTTATAGTGTGTTGTTGAGTACTGCTGTCTAAACTTGTCGCCCCGTTACCGGTCGATTGTGTTTGCGTGTATCCCCCGTTGCCGCAGGCTCTTATGTTAGTTATGTTTCCTGCCTCTGTTAAGCAAGGCACCGCTTGTGTCAATGTTGGCTAGATATGTACTATACTGTCGTAGTGATTGTAAGTTCCTGTCCTGCCTAGTCTGTAACAAATTGCGATTGACCGGTTGTTGTCGTTCTGTCTGAAGGATCTTGTCAGTGCGCCCCTGTTCGTGATGTATTTCGATTGCGACGTTAAATATGTCCGATGCTGCTATTATTGTTTCCAATCCCTCC